CAACGAAACTTTGGAAATTTGGTGTGAAGAAAGAGCTGGAATGGATGGACAAAGTGGGATAGTCTCTGTTTCACTGATGTAGGATTCAGTCAACACCAGCGAGGAACTGCATGACATTCTTCAACTATGGTTTACTAATACAAGCAAATGCATCACCTGATATTAGCCAATAGGAGTCCTAACTTTTCTGCAAGTTAATGGTCCCAAAGAGCTTATCAATAAAAATCTCTTCTCATAAACTGAAAGAAGGCAAATTAATAGAAGAAATACTTTAATCTTGAAGAGAGATTTGCTTGAGATACTGCTTTTTGGCTAAAATGACCTCCTATTACCCATTACAATTGCTTTGGCTTTAATTTAAAACTAAGTAAGCCCATTTATTCATGCATTTTTCTAGTAAATATTTTTAGGTCCCTACTATGTGATACACTAGAAGCCTGAGTATAGAGAAAACATAAAGGAGTTTAACCTCAACGATGGCCCTGCCTACAGCACTGAATTCTACTGCACAGAAGGAACTGTAAAGAAGATTGGCCCCTTTTGGGAACTAGTTTATACTTAGAGAGACTCAAAGCACTGTTTATTTCCCTCAAGGAAAATAACTATAACTGAGCCAAACATCACAACTACTTCCAGAAATATGGTCTGATCAGAGAAGAAGATAATTTATAGCATATCAAGGATGCTTGTTAAAAAAAAATAACTATAATATGCTCTGAGTTCTTTCTTTTGCCACCTGGGATATAATGAAAGCCTAGCAGCACCCAGCCATCAAATCTCTGGGGCTAAGAAAACCTCCAAGCCAAAAGTAACATCTTAGCCAGAATAGTTACTTGTTGCACTGAGCACTTACACCACATTAATATTCCTGATGATGAATGTGGATGGCATTATTCAGGTAGCTGCAGATAAAAACCAACAGGCTGTTTTCCAGTTCTGCCCTTATTTTCAGGAGGTAACATCTGTGGGAATCTCACTCATCTAAACTTCATCTAGAATGATATTGAGGATATCATCACCTGTACTTCTTTCTCCATAAGATTTATTTCTCCTCTAATGGTGACAATAAATTCCATCAGTCACTTGGATTCCTTATTAGAAGAAAGTAGGACCATAAACCAATAAACATTAAAATTGTTATTTTGGTCTCTCTTGAATCATCATTTTAACTTCCTAACTTAGAATATCTCCTGTTGTGTCAGAATATCAATGATTAGCAATCTATATTATCTCATATTGGGCAACAAAATATGGTAAAGTTTTGGAGACAGTGTTTCATATAACATAAGCTGGCTTTGAACTCAGTATGTAGTTGAAGATGACCTTGAACTGTTGACTCTCCAGCCTCCACTTTCTTAGTGTTAGGGTTACAGGTGGGTACCACCACACCTAATTCATGCACTGTTCAGGATCCAACCCAGGGTCTTCTGCATGCTGGGTAAGCACTCTACCAACCAAGCTATACTCCCTAGCCTCAATTTAGCAGGATTTAAAGAGCGTATTATAGCTGTGTATGATGGTGTATGCCTTTCTTTAATCCCATCAAAAGGATCTCTGTGAGATCCAGGCCAGCCTAGTCTTGATAGCAAGTTCTAAGTCAGCTGGTGCTACAGGGAGACCCTGTCTCAAAAAGATGACCCCGTGCCCAGAAAAAAAGAAGATGTTACAACTAGCAAAGGTTGAACCTCAAGGAAGGTCTATTATATATCATTTATTGAGAGATATAGAAAGATATGTTTTTTTAAACTTTTATTTCCTTCCTTAAACTACTTAACCAATTGGTGTTTGCTCATGGATCAGTCAGCAGCCCTGAAGATTTTTGGTCAAGTGTTTTCTTTTCTTTCTTTCTTTCTTCTTCTTCTTCTTCTTCTTTTTTTTTTTTTTTTTGGTATGTTTTGAACAGGGTCTCCCCACAGGCCCAGTTGGCCTGAACTCACTATGTAGACCAGGCTGGTCTTGAACTCACACAGATGCACCTGCCTCTGCCTCCCAAGAGGACTGGGATTAAAGGCATGTGCCACCATGCCCAGCTAAGTGTATTTTTAATTTTAGTCCTGTTGTTTAGCTTTTTGTGGAACAATGAAATAGTATTAGAGGTTTATAGGAGGGGCATGGCTGTTCCCAGAACCTCCTTTTACTAAATTGGTCAACTGCTGCTCCTACAAAGTTTCCCAAGTATCAAAGTTCTGAGGCCACCCTGACCTCTCCTTTCAATTCTGTCATAGCCTGTGCTTGATGACCTCTCCTAAGTATGTCCCTAATCTCCTCTGATCCCCATGCAATGTTAAACCATTTGCTACCTTCAAGACACACAAACAGGAACTGTCCATCTTGTCTGCATACTTTGGCTGTGTTTCCCAGAATCCTTCGGAATAAGTCGTAAAACCTTTGGCTCCAGCCGGGTGTGGTGGTGCATGCCTTTAATCTCAGCACTCAAGAGGCAGAGGCAGGTGGATCTCTGTGAGCTCAAGGCCAGCCTGGTCTACAAAGTGAGTTCCAGGCCAGCTAGGGATACAGGGAGACCCTGTCTCAAAAAAACAACAAAACAAAAAACCCCCAAAACAAAAAAACTTCTGTTCCACCATATCCCAGAGCTAACTCAGTACCTAGCACATGGTAAATGTTCATTTAGGATTTGTTGGATGTACCCAAGGCCTGACCTTCCACGGTCAGGCTCTTGCCTGCTTCTCCCTCCTGTCGGCTTCCTCTCTACCTCCTGTTCCTCCAACTTGTATTGTTCTCTCTTGCCTTTGAACTTTTGTACTGGCTGTTCTTTCAGCCAGTACCAAATGCTGTACCTGCTCAAGCCCCATCTTCTCTCACCAAATCCGTCTGGAAAGGGCTATTTCATCTCTCATGCAAGCCCCTCTCAACACAGCCCCTGGCATCTAATCACTATTACTGTCTCAGTTTTCCTTGAGATGAAAGGAGTACAAGGTGGAGCACAAGCACAGAACATACTTTGATTAGGCGCAGGAGCAAGTACCTGGTTTAGGACGTAGACTAGGGTTTAAAGATGGCTCTGGGATGATTTGACGTCCCAGATAAAACAGGTATTTGCAAGCAAGCTTGGAATCTAAAGTTGATTATCTATATAACTCAATAAAGTTGCGATTAAAAACGATTGATTATCCATTGTTTCTATGGGGAAAATTATGAGGAAGAAAGTTTTCTATTCATAATTTGGAAACCACCTGGTTTACTGCTCATTATTTTCTTACTACTTCTTTAAAAGGGAATTCTTGACCTAAACTCTTCCTGTGATCAGAAAGCTGTATTTCCCTTTCTTCCTTAAGCAGAAAGTAGACAAGGTTTTGACAGACACTTTAGGCTGCCTATTTCCCAATGCCCTTTGCTTCAGAAATGGTCAACATGTTCATTCAAAGAGGTATTGGGCTTCTGATAAATATAGTTGCTCAGGAAGATCATTTGTAAGGTTCAAGGTTGAAAGTGTTTAAGATCTACTTCTCTCCCCAGAATTGGAAGAATATAATAATTTGGAAAACAAAGAAGGCAAGATAAAAGTGATGAAGCTAATGATCGTCATGGTTGATGTGCACATCTTCAAAAGTAACACAGCTCCAATGATCTAAGATACCTCTGAAAAGAGATTTAGCTCTCTGAATATTTTATCAGAAAGATGCTGTAAGATTCCTTACACATACATCACTGTATTTCCACCTAATTACTAATCAAACGCACTAGTTGAAACCAGAATAATTTGTGGGGTCTCAGCAAGCAGGCCTGTGCTATTAAGTTTGGAGCTCTGTACACTGTTCTTGCCTAACAGACACAGACTTACTTGAATGGAACTTTCCTGTTTGTTGTGGTTAATACAGAAACCACACAGGACTGAGTCTTGGCACTGTAAATCTTTGAACACTACATCTATAAAATTCTGTTGTCTTTTTACATTTACAGTGACATTTCTTTTTGCTATATTTATCACTCTTTCCAAAATATGAAAATGCCCTTTTTGTTTTAAATGTTGACTAGATGAGAAAAATTAACTCTGGCTCCATTACTTCAAGTGATCCCTTTATTCGCAACAGTTGTGCAGTGCTGTCAAGAGGAATTTTGAAACTAAAGGACCCAGTGTGGAGGGCAGGCACATCTGTTTTACTTTGCAGTTTGTTTTATTGTTTTATTTCTTAGAATATGAATTCACAACTATCTTATAACTAAAGACTAAAGAAAAAACATATGTTGGTAAATCTGATTTCGGCCATTATTTTCATTCAAGGGAAGTTGCCTCCCTCAGCTGTCTGCCAATGAGGAATAGATGGACTTGGCAAAAAGTTTATTTAAGTTGGCTTTGTTAAGCCAACAAAACACAGAAATCAAGTACGGGACAGGCAGAAAAATCTGTTCCTTTGAAGTCAATAAAAATCCATCTCCTTAATCCTTTTTTTATTCCAAGCAGAGGTGATTTTTCTCAACTGGCTCACTGAGAACCTTGATTTAGCTAATCTGTCTTGCTTGGTTATCTTTCTTCTCCAAACCTCTGCTAAAGAAGCACCTTTCCCCTCGACAACCACCATCCTTTATACTTGCATAGTGGTGCATCTCCACTGAACAGTCTCCAGTTAATCCTGATAGAGATTTTAAAAACAGGCTTCTAATTGCCGTCCATGAAAGCGGCAGTAGGTAGGCGCTGACATGAAAAGCACGCACAAAGGATCAACGGTAGAAAGACCGCGCAGACTTGGCACCACAGTTTTTCCTCCCTTTAGTCTCCATTAGGCTTTCCGTCACGGCTATGTGACTATTGCTTACCTGCCCATGGGGAAGAAATCCCGGTACAGCTCTTGTTCTACACCCAGCCTATCTGCTGAAGGGCTAAGAATGATGTGTAAACACACCCAAGTGTGTGTGTTCACGTTGGAAGATTTCACGACTTGGAAAGCAAAGCATTATCTTGGTAGAACACAAACAGGTACTAACATCAAAACACTCAATGTTCGCATTTTAAAATAATATAAGAACAAAGTTTTACTTACCTAAACTAAACAGCACCAAGAATTTCAGACACACAAACTCTCGTTGATCAAACTGGAGGGAACGAAGTCTTGCCACCAGCTCCTGTGCATGACTCATGAGGTTGTTGAGTGTGGCCCCGGCTTGTGATGCTATAATGGAATAGTCCAGCTGCAACACAGAGTCACAGCTGTGACAATCATCAGATCAACAAACACACAGTTCAAGGGCTATTACTAAGAATTATGGGTAAAATCAGGTTGCAATACAGATTTCCAACACTGGGGGCTTTGTTCTTAAAGGTGGCTTGAGATACCTTCTCCTATAAAATATGTCACAATTACTTTATAAAAATTGAGCTGGGTGTGGTGGTACACGCCTTTAATCCAGTACTTGGGAGGCTGTGGCAGGAGGATCTCTGTGAGATTGCAGCTAGCCTGGTCAATATAGTGAGTTCTAGGTCAGCTGGGGCTAGAGGGAGATCCTGTCTCAAACAAAGAGACAAATTGAATGTCAATGAGTTTCACAGGGAACAGGCTTTGACTGCCTAACATTATTTTTGGGGGGGTTTTTTTGAGACAGGGTCTTCCTGTAGCCCCAGCTGTCCTGGGGCTATGTAGACCAGGCTGGCCTTGAACTCACAAAGATCTGCCTGCCTCTGCCTCCCAAGTACTGGGTTTAAAGGCGTGCCGACCCCCACCCCTGCGACTGCCTACGTTTCATAAGTATGCAAACACCTGCTTTTCTGCAGTAAAATTACATTACCAAACAAGATAATTTTAAAAAATAAATTTATCTTGGAACTGGAGAGATGGCTCAGTAGTTAAGAGCACTGACTGTTCTTACAGAGGATCAGGGTTTGAGTTCTAGCACCCACATGGGAGCTAACAATTGTAATTCCAGTTCCAGGGGATCTGATGCCGCCTTTTGACCTCCATAGACAGTGCACAATACACTTATACACATGCAGACAATACAGTCATACACATAAAAACTAAGTAAAAAGATTTTTTAAAAATTAAAAACGAATTATTAAAAAAATTCTTATGTGTTATGTGTGTGTGTGTCCCTTAGTCTATGTATGTGTACCCCATGCATAAAGAAGCCTGAAGAGGTCAGAAGAGGTCATTGAATTCCCTGGAACTAGAGTTATAAGCAGTTGAGAGCCACCATGTAAGTACTAGGAACCAAAGCTGGGTCCTCTGCAAGAGCAGTCCTCAAGTGCTCTTAACCCCTGAGCCATCTCTCCAGGCCCCCAAGGCAATTAATTAACACCACAGAATAAGTTGATATAAAAACAAACTGTCCATAAAAAAATGAGCCCACAGCAGCATTGTACATGTACACTGTGCCATTAGCAAGTATGTGAGGAAAAGAACGATTGCAATCTGTCTCGGCTGGTACTGTAACGACATTTTAACATAGTCACAGTTCAAGACCGCATGCTTGTGGAGGGTGGAGTACCGGAGTATGATAATTAAAGTCTAAGTAGCCCAAGTTGGCCTTGAACTCACAATCCTCCTGCCTCAGCCTTTTCAGTGCCACCATGCCTGGCTCTAAAGTATTCTTTTACGTTTGTTGCCTTCTTAGAAGCTGACATAAAGCTGCTAGCTTGAGGTGATTATATTAGATTTCGTTCTCTCCTTCCCCCCCTCCTTCTCTCTCCCTCTCCACCAACATCCTAATTCTTATATAGAATAATTTCTTAGTCTGGAAAGCAAAATCAAAAACAAAGGCTTATTTCTCTTTTCACTTTTAAAAATGACAGAGGCACCAATCTTAGATCATAGGGACCTAAGTTCATGTTATAATAGCAAGTTAAGATGCTGGGGGCTGTCAGCGGTAGGACTGACTTTGCTGCCGCATCCACAGTGTGGGAAGGCCCAGCACTCTGGTTCTTGTTTTCCTGGTGAGCTCTCAAGCAGCTAGACACCCTTTTAGGTGCGTTTAATATTTGCAGGAGCAGCAAATTTGTCTGGGAGGCAAGTCCTTATCTGCCACTCACCCAGAGCAGACTGTATTAAATTTTTATATTTATTGACATTTCATTACCATAATTGACTGCACTAGCTCCACTAGAAGAAGGCAAGGGGCTGCCTCCTAAGCAGGAGAACCAGTCCCCTGAGTGGAATTTGCAATTAAAAACAAGGCAGAATGGATTTTTTTATTGTGTAAATATGATGAGTTGAATTTTCAGCTTTAACTAGAGAATACTGGGTGTAAAGAAACCTTCTTCAAGAGTGGGAAAATTATGAGTCAGTGGAAAGATGACCCCCAAAGGTGTCAATCAGTTTACAGAGAGTCAACTGCGCATGAAAAAGCCACTGTTAATGTGTGTTCCAGAAAAGTTCCTGCCTCAAGCCCGGTGCCTTCTACTAGAACTACCCCCCCTGGGCTGGCACCATGGCCCAAGGAATTTAAACATCAAGCAATCCATGAGCTTCCAATTCTGAATCATTGGGAGGAAAGGGTCAGTCCTTAGGCAACCTGAACCTGGGCAGGAAGATGAACTAGAATGCTGCAGAGCACAGCGAGAGGGTTCTGGCTCAGAGTGCCCGCCAACTCCCATTTTGCCAGTTCTGTTACAGGGGCACTTTCTACCTCAAGAAAGTTCTCACCTAAAAGTAGTGCATGTGGGGCTGGAGAGACGACTCGGAGGTTTAAGAGCACTGGCAGCTCTTGCAGAGGACCTGGGTTCGATTCCCAGCACCCACATGGTGGCTAACAACCAAACTGGAGTCTGTAACTACAGTTTGAAGGGATTACATCCAACATCCTCTTCTGATCTCTGCAGACATTGTACGACCTGGGTGCACTTACATACATGCAGCCATAACACACATACACGCAAAACAAAAATAATAAATAAAATATTTTTTTAAAAGTAGTGCATGGGGCTGGCGAGATGGTTTAATGGGTAAAAGCACTTGCCTCAAGTCCGATGACCTGAGGCCAATCCCTGAGTCCCACACAGCAGAAGAGGACAGACTCCTGTGATGTACATGCCCACACACAATAAATAAAATGTGATAAAAATTTAAAAATTCATTGTTGGGTTGCATCTTAGCAAAATAAAAAAAAAGGGAAAAAACAATGGTTAAAAAACAACTAGTGCATGAAGGGTGGATGTGGTGGTGCACGCTTGTGACCCCAGAGACAGGAGGACCACCAGATCCAGGCTACCCTGAGCAACATGGTGAATTCTAACCCAGCCAGGCTAGCTTAGTCTCAAGAAACCAACAAATAAATATAAAAAATAAAAGCATAAACTCTGAATTATTTAAAACTTGCCTGTAAGCTTGCTACTTCCAGTTGAATGTCCCAAACCCAAAGCATTGGCATGTGAAATGCTCTCAAGTGTAAAACATTATGACAGCTAACATGGCACCCCAAGGATGAGTTCCATGTGGATGGGCACACTGAATGTACCGGACAACATGACCTTTGGGCCATGTATACAAAGTATATGTGAAATTCAAATGAATCACATATTTTAAATTGGGACCCATCCCTTATATACACTTAGAAGTGTATACAAAAATACACTTCAGCTTTCTAAAATCTTAAAGGAACCTAACATCTGAAAGGCTTCTGGTCCCAAGTATTTTCAGATAAGAGATATTCGGCCTGTAATAGAAATTCGATAGCTACAAATGGGCTGGGTGTAGGAATGACAGTAGGAAAGCCCAAGGACATGGCAGTGGTGGAAGAAACCTGGAAAAAGATGAAGGAATATGAGCCATCCTGACCCTTACCAACAGACAGACTTGGGAAAGTCTGACCACAGCTCCACCCCTTAGTGTATCATCTTTAGATAAGGCAGTTAAGCTGGATAAGGTGCCTCTCACCTCTGTGATTACCAAGAGATAATCACAGTTAAGCTTGGAGCCAACTGAATGCACTGTGGATACTACTTAAAACATGCAAGTACAATGTAGTAAAAATCACTGATTGAGCCCTAATCCAGAAAGCTGTATTAAAATAAAATTTAAATGCATAGTATTAGTTCATTTTGTATTATTAAGATGAGGCTATTTAAATTTGATGCATGTGTAGTTTCAACAGGTCTATGATAATAAGTTTGAATACTAGAATTTCATACTTGGAAATATAGTAAATTATAATTGGAAGGAATCTAAATTGTTTCGCAGGATTATCTACTTAGTGAGAGACCTTTAGTAAGATGGACGTTGGGAAATCAATTGGCATACTATCACGTTTATAGCCTTACATTTATTTACATGCTAATTTGAAAGCTCAAACATGCTTATTAAATGGGAGCTCTGGTCACATTTCTTTCAAGGATAATTTATCAAATGGCACAGCTCTGAAGGAGGATGGGCAATTTATTTCTGAGACAGCACACAGAGCTGAAACTTCCTCACATTTTATTACAAACATAATTATATTTTCATTGTTGGATGCAGGGTTTGTGCTCATTTCAGGAGCAGCTGGCCTTGTCTTTTATGTACTTAGTAAAATTAATTGATTGTTCTCTTACGTGTAATCTTTATGCCATTAAATTCAAGGGGGAGATGGAAGAAATGTTCTAAGTTTCACTCATTGTGAAGATACAGAAATAATTTTAGCTAAATTGCCTTTATGTCTAATATCCAAAATTTTGATGACTTGTATATTGTAAGATGCTTGTCCTTTTAATACGGTGCACAATAATAAAGGACAAGAAGTTGGCAGTAGATCTTTCCCTTAGGAGGATGTTACAGAGGCTGTTAATTAGGTACAATATGCAAATACTAAAATCTGACCTCATGTCAAAGAACTCTATTGTTATTATATATATATGTACATTACGATGCATATATGTACAGTTTAAAAAATACTGGTTAGAATTGTCATAAGTAAAAGATGCTGGCTATGTAGATGTGATATGACAATATTGAATATTAATGATAATCACTAACTTTTGCTTCAGAGTTATTTAATCTGCACTTATTTACATACCCAATAAAACACACAATTAGCAAAGCAAGGTGGCTCATGCCTTTAATCCCAGCACTTGAGGCAGAGACTGAGACAGAGAGAGGCAGGTAGACCTCTATTAGTTCAAGGTCAGCCAGGGCTATATAGTGAAACCCTGTGTCCCAAAAAGGAGGAGGAGGAGGAGGAGGAGGAGGAGGAGGCCTGCCTAGCTGGAAGAAGAGGAGGAAGAGGGGGAGGAGGAAGAGGGGGAGGAGGAGGAGGAAGAGGAGGAAAAGGGGAGGAGGAGAGAGGAAGAAAATACATAATTAAAACATGATAACAAATTTTAGAGTTAGGAAAACTTGGTGTAAAACACAGGAGCCTCCCATCAGAGCTAGTCCTAGGGGTTTGGATGCGCTCTAGAGCACTATTCAATCACTGGACATGAGGCCCCAGCTCTGCCAACATTGACTGAGCCAGATGGCTGTCCCCCAGACTTGAAGCTGTGTTCTCTTAACTAACTGCATTCTTTACAGTCTTCAAGATATAGTTTTCTGGTACCCCTTATTTTCTTTGCTTTTTGCTTCTTTCTCCCTCCCTCTGTTTCCTCCTTCATTTCATTTTCCTTTTCTTATGATGCTGGGCATCAAGACCAGAACCTCACACATTTTAGGTAAACATTGTCTACTAAGCTATATCCTTAGATTAGCCCTCATTTAAAAAACTCAGTCTAGTCTTTCCTCTCTCTGCTGTAGTAATTTCATCAGTTAATTGCAGCACTCCACACTCAGTAGAAAAAGGCAGAATCTAGGCCATGGAGCAGCTGGGACCTTGTGTTCCTGTCTGGCCAGGGGGCTGCCACAAAGCTATGTATGTACACCATGCTCATGCTTCAAGGTAATAGGAAATTGCTGTTGGTGTTCCCTTTGTGTCAGGACTTTGGCCTCAGTGTTATAGACTGAGGCATATTTAATATTACTATCTGCTAGGTTTAGAATACTCAGAATAAATGTTTTCATTTGTTCCATAAGTGATGATCATGGGACAGTTGGAAAAGTCTACAGGCAAATTCGGAAATTTATAATTAGTTGTTTGGGAATACTGCATTCCTTCTGGGTGGGACTGGAAAACATTGTGGAGTTCAAAGTTTTATCCCATAATCCCTGTCATTCCTTCTTTAGAAGGGTGTGAAGCCAGATATCTGCCTCAGCTTACAAGGTGTGTGTGTGTGTGTGGGCGGTTATGACAAGAGAGACTCACACTAGGGCTAAGAAACTTTCACGGAGACACTGGACCATCTGGACAGCTCTGAAGTCCGGTCTCTGCCCAGACTCCCTCCTCTGAACTCTTCTGGGCTGTACTTGACTGTGCCACAGGGCTTAGCAGCAAAGCACGTGCAAAGGGCAATCACTGCCATTACCGAGCAGACGGAGGAACTGCCACTCTTATCGCTGTTCACTGCAGGGCGCTGCCTAATGGTTCTCCTCCCACATCTTTGGTTGCCTTTCAATTATCAGGCTATCAGAAACATTTTTGACCTAAATGAAGAGTGCCAACTAAGAAGCCTTAGGGGAATCCTGCGTGGTTTACCTGTACAAGATTGAATTTTCTCCCTATTAGTTCAGTACAGTAAATCATGGAAACAGACTTCTATCCTTGTGTGAAAGTTCACACTCTTGACAATTCATGGAAATAAGTTACTATGTCTCTGTGACAGCCTAGTTTGGGGGACTTTTAATTTATTTCTTAATTTAAAAATTTTATGTGTATGAGTGTATTGCCTGCATGTGTGTAAGTGCATCCGTGTAGTAAAATGCCCTCGGAGGTCAGAAGAGGGGTTGGATTTCCCTAGAACAGGAGTCACAGATGATTGTTAGCTGCCATGTGGGCGCTGGGAATCGAACCTGGGTTTTCTGTAAGAGCAGCCAGTGCTCTTAACTGCTGAGCCATCTCTCCAGCTCAGGACTTTACAGAACTGCTTCCTGTAAATCCTATTACAATTTTCTCATGTGTGAACCATTACAGGCCCCACTGTGAGGCAAGGACTCTTAAGCTTGATATTTAAAAGGGCTTGCTCAAGATGTAGCTAGTAAATTTTGGAAAGTGTGCATAGGATGTTCTGACTCTACACTAGACTGCATGTATGTCTATATACAGACACACACACACACACACTGATATATACATATATACATATCTACTCTCACCATTTCCAAACCAAAGTCAAGCAGTCTGCATTTTTTTATTAGTAATGCAGAAAACTAGAAAACTTTTCTCAAAAGAGCTGTAGAGAGCAGGGGACAGATAGTGATGGAGATGGTCAAATTGATCCAGTCCGCAAAAACTCTGACATGGTGCTTGCCTTTAATTTGATTGGGAAAATGTGATTTATTAATAATACAGCAAATGATGTGGAGACAGCCTTCCATTTTCAAATACGCACTGCCATGGTTTCACAGCACATAAACATTTATGGCTGGATGTAAAAGATCACAGTGCCTGAGTGTTGGAGTCACTGTGGCTGAACGATGCAGTGGTGCCCTGAATAGCTATGACCACATGGACTAAAGGAATCAGAGTGCACCATGAATTTACAAGCAGCAGTCCATCAGCTGTGGAGAGGAAGGTAAGAAACCAGAACTTGCTCCATTGGAATTAAGCCCAGTACATAGATATCCCAGATATCTAAATCAGTCCCTGATTTTCCATGTTTTGCTGAAGTGTCACTTTCTCACTCAGTAGGGCCAAACTGTCCTGCTAAACACTGTGATCCTTAGGTCCCACTGCAACGCATATCCATGAATCCAATGACTCTCCTTCCTGCTGGATCCTGTTTATAATTGGTCAAAAGCACTTGGGCTTCTAATATAGCACAGGTTTGTGTTGTTTTCGACTCTTGCTACAACATGTAGTTCCATGGAAACAAGATTCTTTGTTTCATTCCGTAATACATGCCAATGCCTCAGAATAGTGACTAGCACACAGTAGGGCATACAGTAAATAGTTACTGATTTAACAAGTATCTATTTCAAAACAAGTAAAACATTGCAGTAATTTTGCCTTCTGTTTTCCTACTGAATGACTAGCTCTTGAAAATTGGAACTCCTGTCCCTTCTCGTGTGCTTGCCCCTCTATGCCAACTTTTTGACTCTGACATTTGAATTAAACTCTTCCACCAACATCATCCCAAACTAGCAAGGATTCTGGGGCTCCAAGTATATAGCTCAGGAGTAGAGAGAGCACCTACCTAACACGCACAAGGCCGGCCCTGGATTTTATATCTAGCACAATCATCGTTATCAAAATGGTAAGGATTCTCCAATTTACAAAGGTCTGTAACTGACTCACTACCAAACAAATATGGTGAGTTTGTGTAGAAGCTTGAAGGGAAAAAATGCCAGTCCTAATCACCGAGCCTGATTTAGCGGCTGCTCTGACCCTGGGCAGGACTTTGCATCCTGCAGACTGTAAGCAGCAGAGCACTGTTCATTCTGTTTGCTTTTACAACTTTATCTGTAATCATCAGGGCAGGAACTGAGCGCACCGAGTCATCATTTCTCAGTTATTTGCAGCCAGTCTCTCCCTTTCCAAGCACAGGAGTGCTTCTGACCTAGTTAAATTCCTGCCACGCTGAACATGCTTAATAAAAAGAATTTTTTCGTCCTATACTCACTTGTTGCCCAGTAACCAGGAAGATTGATCCTTCCTTCCCGTGCACCACTTGTCGGTAAATGTGGTCGAGGATTAAGAGCTCGCTCCAGCAGTTCTGAAGCAGCTTCATTTGGTCATCAACCTATAATTGAAAAAAAGGGGGAAAAAAAAACCCCATGTTATCTGCTACCTTTTGGTTTTTTGCATAATTTTCCACACAAGGGGACCAATAAGCAAGGAGGTCCCCATTAACGGCCACCAGGTACAGAAGCCCTGAGTGGACATCCCCACCCCTGAAAGCATGACTTTCATTTAAACAACTGCTGCACAGGAAACATACAAGGTTAGCATTTAGAATGAACTACTAGGAAAAAGTGCTTCAATAGGTTGGTCTAACTAGCATTACCAGAGCTATTAGAGTTTGATTGTTGGAGGTACAGGTGCTCAGATGAACCTTAATAGGCTTTATTAGAATGATCACAAATAGCTCATGCTCATGTATGCAAAGATACATACATACACACACACACATATGTGTGTGTGTCTCTGTGTGTGTGTATGTCAGGAAAACTAACATGACAGCCCAAAGGATTTCTGAAGGTAGAGATGTGATGGCATTAATGGTCACATAGTTGACAAAAAGTGTCAACTGGAAGTCTTAATGGTGTGAGACTTTCAATAGAAAGATCACCAAGGCTGTTCCCAGTACTAACTAGCACTTGTGCTGGACATGGTAGTACATACCTGTAACTCTAGCATGGGATATGAAGGCAGGAGGATCAGGGTCAGCCTCGACATAGCAAGTGTGAAGGCAGCCAGAGCTACAGAAGACCCTGTCTAAAAACAAAACAACAAAAACCCTGTACTTGCTTTTTAAAAATGATTCAATGTCCCCCAAACTTCTATATGCCAGCTTCCTGTGGGGCCAAGAGCAGGAGTGCTGTGCAGATGAAAACGGAAAGCACTGATGCAGTGGGCATTTCAGTCATTCCATCTCATCTTCTGGGGAATGGAATTCTTTGATGACAAAAACACACGTACAGTCTGTACACATACAGTCTGTACATTTACCATCTAACCGTGGAGAGAATCAATCCTCTGTCACAGCTGTCTAACACTCCACTCTTTGGGGCATTGTTTTGGCTTTGACTCATGGGCCATGCCATTGAAGTTAGCAGAATTCCTGACGGTAAGGTCTCAACAAGGCTTGGAGGCATGCCTCCCAGTCCTTCCCAAAATCTAGGCTGTCTCCAAATTATACCAAGCAGTCTGAGAATTTTCCAAGTCAAATGAATTTAACTCACTGTAAACAAAATTATTTTTAAGAAGGCATTCAGTAAGATTCTAGATTGTTGTCCCATAGAGATAAAAGCTGGTGGCCAAGTTTATTTCCACAAGGCTGGGATACAGCGAACATGGTCAAAATACTGAACTTGGAGTGAAAACAACAGGATTTAAGTCACAATCCCTGTACTTTCTAATTGTGAGAACCTGGCTAGACCATTTAATTCTGAAACCTTACTTTCTCAACTAAGTGTGTGAAGTAGTTTTTGGTATGAAGTTGTCGTGAAAGCCCTTTCTAAGCTGGGTATGGTGGTACATGTCTATAAATTCCAACACTCAGGAGACTGGGGTAGAAGTCTGAGGCCATCCTGGGCCACATAGCAAGAAGTTTGAGGCAACCTGAGTTACACAGTGAGACCAGAGACTCTATTTAGGGGGTTGGGGGGAACGGGGGGAGTAGGAAGGAAGGAGAGAAGGAGAGAGGGAGGGACAGAGGGAGGGAGGGAGACCTGAAGGTTCCACCAACAGCAGATCAAGTGTTCAAATATATGAGCCCATGGAGGACATTTCCCATTGCAACTACCACACATGCATTCAAGACAGAGAGGGAGGAGAGAGACAGAGAGAGAGAGAGAGAGAGAGAGAGAGAGAGAGAGAGAGAGAAAGAGAGAGCCCTTGGCAAAACAATAAACAAATGAAGAAACTACAAAAAGCAAATGCACCAGCTTGAATGCTGTCCAAGTTCTGTTCAGGGAGGACAAAGTGGTTCAGGGATTCAGCTCAGTGGAAGAGTACCTGTCTAACATGCACAAGGCCCTGGGTTCCACCTTGAGTACCTCCTATTCCCCAACTCTAAATCCCAGTTGCAAATAGACTGAAGCTACCATCGGGCTCTGTGATGGGCAGATGTATTCTCAAGCATTTCTCAAGAAGAAAAATTGTAAGTAACTAAGTCTGTTCTAACCAAAAGAATTTGTGTTTCAGTACTGGCTTTGAATGTAGGGCCTTGCATGTCACGTGCTAGGCAAAAGCTATAGCATTGAGCAAGCCCAAGTAGCTACTATTTTTTCAAAAATGGTTTATTTTAAAATATGTGCGTGTGTGGGTATGTGTATGTGGGTGAAGGTACCCGTGGATGCTAAAAATGTCTAATTCCCCTGTAGCTTGCGTTCCAAGTGGTTGTGAGTCACCCGATGTGGGTGCTAGGAACCAAATTTGGGTCCTCTGGAAGAGCAGCAAGTGCTCTTCACCTCTGATCCATTTTTTTCCCAGTCCTCAATTAGCTATTTTTGAGCCAGTTATTTGGTGAGTATAGGTGTGAGGCTCTGGGATGAAATGACAAAGTAAACACAATCCCTGCCTTTCTTTCTTGTTCACCCAGCACTCAATGGGTCCATTGGCAGTGGCAGTTCCTGTCCTTCTTTAGACGCAAGTGTGTGTGGTGCTATAGTCAGTCAGATGGGGGCAGCAGGTAGGTACTCTGCAAAGAACTGACCTGAGGTGCTGAGAGCTGCAGGCGTGTCAATGCACCCAGAGCAGACGTGCAGTTATCTCCCTTAGGTGCTAAAGGTGATTTTAGAACAAAGTCCACTTTGTTCCTCTTGTTTTATTACAGTCTCACATGTTATCGGGATCTGATTTCAAATTTACCAGTCTATGATGGCAATTTGGTTTTATTCTTTAGCACTCACTCTTTTCAGGGAAACCCAAAATACTGCACTTTGAGATCATCTCTCTGACAATGACCACACAGGTGAACATGGCCTACACCTGCCAGGAGGTCCAAAGTCCATTTATGGTGATTAGTGGGACTTTCAGCTAAGGGATCTATTTATACAGCAAGAAAAATGACTGACCCCCCCACTTTTTTTACAAGTTAAAAAGAAAGGAAAGGAACGTGTGAAGGGACTATCTGCCGGCCATGGAAGGAAGGAGAGCAGACATCAAGGAAGACTATTTTCTGGGACTCCCTTCCTCTTCATTTCTATCTGCTGGTCACCAATATTTTGCATACAACATAAGAGAAACAGTTACGGAGCAGAGCTTGCCACATGAACATACTGAAATTGTAAGATGTGAATCTAACCTTCCCTGGTTTGTTAGAACGTCGAGGGTACACTATTAAAATCTGCTCAGCTCCCAGTTCTTCTGCTTTTTTGGAAACTGCTGGAATAGGTGACATTGAACATCTACTTGCAGAGAGTGTGTCGTTGTTTTATATACTGTGCTGTTTAAGTCATCATTTCCTCTTTGTATCTAATAGAGGATCTCCTATAATTTGTTTTCACAGAGTGCCCCAGATGTTTCTGTCTGCCCTGCTTTAAGCTGCAGTCCTGCAGCCTTCCACAGTGCTTGGCAGTAAAGAGGCACTCTAATGTTATTTGACTGATTACATCCACCTCTGCAATTGCCAGCCTTTTGTCTGTATATCTCAGATGCCCAGTCCTACCAAATAAGCCAGCATCTTCTTTGGTGATTGTGAAATGAATGATAATCTTTGAAAACAGTGAAACTACCAGCCATTTGTGACCCCTTTCTCAAACGGAAGTTTGCACCCATAGCTAGCCCTTGGTAAGAATGTCTTGACTGACTGTAATTTCAACTCCTCTCTTGCGCTCCCTTGTTTGAACACTCTCTGAGGAAGTTTCCCATGCCAACATTCCATCTCATTATTTTCCACATTGATTACATGATATTTTACAGGATCTTGAAATTGATGCATGTGCTTCTCTAGATGGACATAGTTTTTATGCAGCACTGTGAATAAAAGGGCCAGGAAAGATGGTGACTGGCTAAGAAGTACTGGAAGGCTGGGCGTGGTGACCCACACCTTTCATCCCAGCACTTGGGAGGCAGAGGCAGGCAGATCTCCATGAGATCCAAGGCCAGCCTGTTCTACATAGTGAGTTGCAGGCCAGATGGGGCTACAAGGAGACCCTGTCTCAAAAAGACAAAAAAAAAAAAGTGCTAAAAATTTTGCCTTTTTTACTTTAGAAGAATGAGCTTTAAGCGATGGTTGACAGGCACCAATGGAAAAAAGTAGTTTATTTTTAAAAAGAAAATTCTCCAGGCACTAAATGCTGTAAATGAACAGTTTAAGGTTGTATTTGGGGAGCCCAGAGGGGACTGATGGGCTGTAAGTTCCATCATATCAAAACCTCTCACTAGTGGTTAGTAATATTACCTCATATAATCCTGAGTTATCAACAGTAATAAAAGGAAGGACTTATCTCAGAAACCTAGTTACCCATCAGAGAAGCTATTTATATTGATATTACAGATGAGGGTGTAAAAGAATACAAGTCTCATATTCTTGCAAAGCAGAGTTTCCCACACCCCGGCACGTTAATCATTAGAAACATGTGCTTTCTCATAACAAAAGTAGACCTGGCAAAAAGGAGAAAAATGTAAAGATTTTTCTCAACCCTGTTTTCAGTTTGCTGAAGTTTCTGTTGCCCCATTTCTTCCCCTTTGAACAACCCAGGGACTGAGAGAGTTGTTATTTTCCTTCTTGGACAGGCTTTTTAAAACTGTCACCATAAATCATTGTAGTTGAGCTTTACAAAAGATTTTTTTTAGAAAGATAGTGAAATGGACAGGTAGTTTAAAGTGGACATAAGTCTACTTCTTTTCTTTTTTTTTTAGTGAGTTCCATACATGAGTATTGTATTTGCATTGTTTCTACCCTTCCCAGTCCCCTTCCAACCCCTCCTAGTGCCCCCTCCAACCTGCCCCCCGTCCAGGCCTCCTCTAACTCCTACCATGCCCCTCACTGCCTCACAATTTCTTGTCCTCTTCTTTATTATTGTTACATACACATTATATACATATATATTATATATAATATAATATAATATA